GCTCTTTTCCTCTGTGTTTACTGATATGATATGTTATTACCTGATATGATATTAAATAAATACAATAGGAAAAGGGCTACTGAAAATACAATTCACAGTATTTTAAAGATACATAACTTTTTAAATAATCACTATATGGATCAAACTACATCTTCAAAATGGACCCTCCCTTCCTCTAGCCAAGACACCAACAATGATGACAGCTCTATTGCTTTTTGCTAAAGAGTGGCGCTTGAAACATTGGAGAGAACCTAGTGCTTGCCAGAAGTCAAGGCCTTGCACTGGTTCTGGAAAGATCTCAAAAATTTGAGAATGTGGAGGTGGTGGTGAGGTGTGTGTGTGTATGTGTTGTAAGGAGGGATTACCGGAATTGGGATTACAGTGAATAGTGAATGGTCTTGACTACTTTGGGGCCTGAGATAACTCCAAATCCAGGGGTCCCCTCAGAAAATCCAGGGCCATTCAGATGGCCTTAAATATTTTGAAATGAGGGAGAGTACCCAAGACAAAGAGAGAAATCACTGGAAGCTCCTGTACTGACCTGTCAGGTCTTCTTTTTTCTTTTTTTTTTTTTTTAAAGATTTTATTTATTTATTTATTTGACAGATCACAAGTAGGCAGAGAGGCAGGCAGAGAGAGAGAGAGAGGAGGAAGCAGGCTCCCTGCTGAGCAGAGAGCCAGATGCGGGGCTCGATCCCAGGACCCTGAGACTATGACTTGAGCTGAAGGCAGAGGCTTTAACCCACTGAGCCACCCAGGCGCCCCTGTCAGGTCTTCTAAGACACTTGCAGCCAGTAACTACCCATAGTGAATTCTGAACTCCCTCAGAATTCAGGGATGAAAGCTGAGGTTCAGTGACCTCTAAGAGCTGAGGCTCCAGCCAGGTGGGACATCTCCCCACCCACCACAGGCAACTGTGTTCTTTAGAAAGGAGCAAGGGTCAGGAGCTCCAGACACCTGTTAACTACAGCCTGTTCTTCTCACACCTCAGAACTCCATACATGAGAAAAATAAACTGGGTCATCGCTGCTGGTGTAGGGACTTTGTGTCAGGTTTTAGGGGAAAAAGATAGGCTTTAATGTAGCAGGATGATCTGTCATCATTTTCTGGAAGCTAATTATAAGCCCGAAACCAGAACATCGCTGATTTTGGAATCTCCTCAGAGGATAACAGAAAGCTGACAAAGGCTAGCTTTCAGCTTAACTTTGGGCAAATGGTCCAACATGCTGTGGCCTACATTCCTCAGCTATAGAATAAGAATATCCGACGACTTGTTTGAAACTGGGCAACAATAACATATTGAAAGGTGCCGTATAAACACGGGGCTGTAGAATCATGGACTCTCAGAAGGCTGACAAGAGCATTTGGTTCACCCTCCATTTACAGATAAGCACATGCTTATGTGGTCCAAGCAGATGAGGGGCTATTCTCATTTTATAGTGCTTCCAAGCAGAATTCACACTGCTGTTAGTCTATTTTGGTAGTCCACAGCTTAAGAAATGCCTCCCGATGTTGTCTTAATTTCCACAGATTGCATCCCTTGAACAACCTCCTCTAGTGTCCTTGGGCATCCCTGGTACCCTTGTTGGACTCACTGTGCTGAGTTAGGATATCTCTCTTGTTGCTGCCCCAGGTAGGGGCCATGCCTCTGAGGCAGGAGGTCAACATCTCTGGAGAGAAGAGGTAATCCCAAGATCTTCAGCAGGAAAGAAGAACATGGAGGGAGGGGAGACAGCTCTGGCTCTCGGGGCCACAATCCCTCAGGGGTAGACCTCGAAGGCTCTACAGATACTTAAAGAAGGTAAGAGTTATCCAAAGGCCTCTCTCATGGGGGCAGTCCAGGAGCTAGGTCAAGAGGTGTCCATGCGAAGGACCTCAGGACAACCAGGTGATGGCTATATGTCATAAACCAGACTATCAGTGTATATTGCTAAATGTGCTTTATTGTCCCAAGACTTTACTCCAGATCCCTCTGGGACAAGAATTCTCTTCTCTCTTCTCTTGGAAGGGAGATCTGTGGAAATGTTGGGCTGCACTCTATCATAGCATTTCTTCTGTGAGAATATTTGCTGTTTTCCCCATTGATCATGCCTGCACAGATGCCTCCTTGTCCTTCTCTAAGCTCTTCGTTCATTCAACAAGCATTTATTGAGCACTTACAATGGGCTAAGTGTTGAGAATCTAGCTGTGAGCACAATACACTGGGTATCTGTCCTCAGGGAGGTTACAGTGGACAGAGATCCACTGTTCCTGAGACTGGGATCCTACTATCTCTTCACTGCCCCTCCTCAGATTTCACTCCGCCCTCCTGTTGGGACACTAGCTTGCCGACCAGAATAAAGTATCCTCTCCCTGGAGATTTCCTGTTGCCTACACCAGGACCTTCTCATTGTATGTGCTTTCTTCGTACCTCTGAATGCTGGGGGACTCCCAGTAAGACAACCCTGCACTTGCTAGGTGATGTTAGGAAAGTACATGGTTCATTCAGCAAGTACCAAACTGTTAGCCAGCTGTGTGGATGCTGGGCTGCTTCTGGACCAGGAATTAATTGCCCCTGTCAAGACTGGCCGGTTTCAAGACAGTCATAATTGACGAGGGAAGCTTACTTGGCTGCTATGAAACTAGCCAGATGCCCACTGCCGTGCCCTCAACAATGAGTCATGGTCAACCCCTGGATGTTAATGAAATCACAAATCTGGATGATGCTCTTGACACCATGAACGTGAATGCTAAGGTAAAGGGCTTTGGTAATAGGACTGGCCTTTCTGGAACACCACTAAGCCCTCACCAGTCAGGCTCCAGCTGCCAAAACAGGACATCATAACCGTCTTGCTGTCACTCCAAACCCAGAGCTTAGCATCACCCGGCAGGGGTGGCATGAGAGTTAAACAGACGACATGGGATAAAACAAGGCGGGATAATTCAGAGGCAGATATATTACAGGTTAACTGTGCACGTTTTGCCTTTTGACTTCTCCCTCTTCCCCCACCCCTCTTGACTTTGCCACTGCTGCCAGGCTGGTTTTCTAGAAGGGAGCAAGAAGACAATTTTATTTTCTAGGAGCACCCCTGGTAAGTGTTTAGAAAAAGTTCAAAGTTAAGACTTGCCTAAATGAGGTTTTGGAACAACCTCTTTAATGATAATGACCCATATTTTCCTGGTTGAATTCCTCTGCAGTCTTTGGTGAAAGCCCTCTGCCTGTGTGAATACAGCCCTGGACAGGTGGGAACGGATGGCAGGCAGAGGCTTTAGGAACTCCCACTCCATTCGAGTATCCTATGATGTATGGTGGGTGTGTTCCCAGAAACCGCCCCTCACTGCCTCCAGCAAATGTTGTGATACAGTTATCTAATGGAAGAGGAAAAGTATGGGGAAATCCAACCACCTGACTAAGAAAGCTGATGGTTTTCTTTCCTTTGATCTGTTTCTTAGGAAAAAGAATTCTTTAAAAAAAAAAAATCCCAGAACATCCAGTATAATAAGCCTGATTAACTATAGTATTACATGCTCACTAACTAGCTTCAGGCAAAGTAGCAGCCTTGAGCATGAGACTTTCTCTCAGAACCTCTCCAATCCCAGCATCTGTTGTGCTTGCTGTCACCTCCAGGGTAACTTCAGCATTTTCACCTCCTCAGGTTCTGCACCAGTCCCTCCCACGTGGAGCTTGAGGCACCTGGTAGATGGAAGCCAGGGCAGGAGGAGCAACATTATTTCAGATGGAACAAATGTCTGATGGAAAGCTTACACAATTGCAGCCCGTCCTGGAAAATCTACCTGCTCGTTTCACCCCCAGCCGGGTGGGCGTTTCAGAAGCAGCTGGTGCTTTACAAGAGAACCGCGTGATGGCATGAAATTGTGTCTCCTGCTTTGATTCCCACCTAAGCATCGCTTGCTCATCACACCAGTGATGGTGGACAGACCTGGTTGTGCCTCCCACCCCACCTTCAGCTTAGTCACCCCAAGTGATTTATATATGCGAGACCACACTTGTCTCCAGATAAAATAAGGAAGGGAATCTGAAGGTTGTTGTGGGGTCGTCTGCTCGCTGCCACACCCCTTCCTGTTCCTTTTCCCTTCAGTCTAATGAATTGTCTTTCTTTTCCTCCCACTCAAAAATGTTCATGCTTATGTGTGTGTGGGGTTTTTTTGTTTTTGTTTTTTGTTTTTTGGTTTTTTATCGTTTCCAATAGAAACCATACTCATTTTCCAGGACATTTCTCCAAATTTTTTTTGCCCTAAGGCCTGACTTTTTTTTTTTTACAGAAACAGTTTTTAGTTTTTAATGAACTTGTAAACAAAAAATGCTCTCATTTCAAAATAAAAACAAAATCCCAGATCATATGGATGTTTACAGTGATTACATTTATCTAAGCAACATACATACGTGTTCAGTTGTAAGATGTTAACTAAATTTCTGTGACAAATATGCATTTTTTAAATACCAAGAACATTATAGAGTTAATGCAGAGTCCTAAGGATAATCTAGTAGTCACTAAGTTTTTCTTAAGTCTTCACTTTAGATGCTGTTATTTCTAGCACGGGTAAGCAGGCAGAGTCTTTCGTATGCTCAAACACTGGAATCTTTGGTTGCTACCATATCAGCTGGCTTGCAAACAAGAAGCCAACCATTTTAAGAATGTTTTAAGTGAACAACTTGCAAACCCCAGGGATGGATAAACCCTAAGAATGCACAATTGTGAGCATTTACAACCATCACAACTGTGGCTGAAGACTGTTCATGCCGTTCTTCTGAAATGAGATCTCAAAGCAGTATAGTTCAAAATAAAAGATTTTAACACAAAAATTGGCATATGCACAATTTCTCCACCAATTTGTGTGTGTCAACCATTTAGTTAACTTTCCCACTTGAAAAAATGCAACAGAAAACTGGACACCATGTTTCACTATCTCAGTTAATATTCACAATTACAGCGGCTACAACTCGGGACACGGCATCACCCGTGCTGCCCAGAGCCAGTTTATACTGAAATTAGTTCTTTACACCAAGTAAATGGTTGTTCACAACCACTGGCTAGTGTACATATGAACTAAAATTCCTAGATTTGGGGAGAAACAAATGCTGCTCCCATCATCTGCTCTGCTTCTTCTGTTCCTCAATTCATGCTTAGAAACCTTTCATGTTACTCTTGGTTTTGTCCGTTTGCTTGCCTGTGGGGGTTTGGGCCTGCTGGCCCTGCCCACTTGAAGAGGCCGCCTGCTGTGCTGCTTTCTGCTTTAACATTGTCCAATCAAATGTGTAGTCATATTGGTGGGTTCAGGGTCCTGAAAAGAATGCGGAATAGCTGCCTCAGATATATGTAATCCGGGGCTTCCTCAAAGCGCAGCCCACGACAATAGTTTAAGTACATGGCAAATTCTGCAGGAAACCCCTTACATAAAACTTCAACAGGAGTGGACATCTTCTTTTCACTCATCTTTTCGTATTTTTGCTTTTCTGTTGCAGCCTTTAGTCCTTGCCATGGCAGGCTGGTTCTATTAAAAGACGTCAAAACATATCCTAATGATTCCATGTCATCTCGGCGACTCTGTTCAATACCAAGATGTAAATTGATGCTAGTGCATCGGGCAGGGCCAGTGAGATTTTTATCTTCTCTGTATGGTATGTGTTGCCTTGTCCTGCTGTCTCTGTACTTTTTGGCCAAACCAAAATCAATAAGGAATAACTTATTACAGTGACGCCCAATACCCATTAGGAAGTTATCTGGCTTAATGTCTCTGTGTATAAAATTCTTTGTATGCACATATTCAATTCTACTGATCATCTGGTCAGCTAACATAAGTACAGTTTTCATTGTGAACCTTCTTGAACAGAAATTGAAGAGGTCTTCGAGGCTGGGTCCAAGAAGATCCATGACTAGCACATTATAGTCTTTTTCCTGACCATACCGCCGTATGTGGGGGATGCCCACCCCACCTTGAAGAATCTTATAGAGTTTGCTCTCGTACAGCAACTGGGGATGCCTGGCCTTCTGAGATTCTAGCTTCACTGCCACTTCCTCGCCGTTGGTAATGTTGATCGCCAGGTAAATGTCCCCGAAGGAGCCAGACCCGATCTTCCGTACCAGTTTATATTTCCCTCCGACAATGAATTCGGCCTTGGAGCCGCTGCTGCTCGCCATCCTGAGAGACGAAGATGGAGGCTGGGGCCAAGCCCCGACACCGCTGAGGAGGGGACGGAGGCCTCTGGGGCTCGTCCGCGGAACAAGGCTGCGGAGGAGGGCGGCAGGAAACGGAAAACGTTGGCTCTTCCAAGGTGTTACAGGGCCCAGAATCGGCCGAGGGGAAGCTGATCACCGCCGCTCACTCAGGCTTCTTTTCGCCAGGCCGCAGTTTGTGAGGGGGTTCTCGCGGTTACCAGCCTGGGCCACTTGTTTCTGGGCGGCCGCCGCTGGCTCGCCTTCACGACGACGTAGCGGGCTGGAAAAGGGGCGCGGTGGTTTAGGGCGGCGATACCGCTGCCACCACTGCTGCCGGCTCCCGCCCGGAGGGAGCCCTGGCACTCCGCCGACGGCGCCATCTTGTTACTCCGGCTCCAGCCCTAAGGCCTGACTTTCTAATCGAGTCAGAAGTGGTTCTCGTTTTAAAAACAGAGGTTTCTGGTTTTCATGGGCATTCAAAGCTAAATTCTTCACAAGATCTTAATGAGATTCTGAATCGTAGTTTTATTTTTGCTTGTTTAACCACTGGTGTTGTTTTGTTACTGCTCTAAGAGTTTTTACATACGTCCAACGGAGGGTAACCAGAAACAGTCCATGTAGGAGACAGTCCACGTAGGAGACGGGGTAAGTCAAGCAGAGACTATCCGAACCAAACAGCAAATAGCACTGAATAGGCAGTCAAAAGTGCGGCTCTAGGGGTGTGTGGGTGACTCAGTTGGTTAAGCAACCGGCTCTTGATTTCCGCTCGGGTCCTGATCTCAGGGTCTTGGTATTGGTCTCAGGCTCTGTGGGGAGTTGGCTTGGGATTCTCTCTCTTCCTCTCCCTCTGCCCCTCCCCCTGTTCACAACAAATAAATAAACAAACAAGAAATAAAGGGTTTTTTTTAAGTGTGGCTACAACAAATTATTAATATTTAAAAAAAACTATATTAGGTAACCTGATCTTTCTGTTGTAGGTATATAGGTCATGGATATGAAAATGTGCTTAAAATGCATAGAAAGGGAGCCTGGGGAATTGCTCAGGAGTAACTGACACTAGTAAGAGATTGGGAGCCAGTGTGGGGGCAGGAACTAAAAGGGAGTCATGTTCCTCTAAAAAATAAAAATAAAAATACCACATGGTCCAGTAATTGCACTACGGGGTATTTACCCAAAGAAAACAAAAATACTAATTCAGAAACATGTATGCCCCCCGTATGCTTATGACAGCATTATTTACAATAGCCACAACGTGGGAGCAACCTAAGTGTCCACTGATAGATAAACGGATAAAGAAGAAGTCGTACATTAGAGTGGTATATATCAGCCATTTAAAAAATGAGATCTTGCCATTTGCAACAAGTGACGGACCTAGAGGATATTATGCTAAGTGAAATATGTCAGACAGAGAAAGAGAAATATCATATGATTTTATTTATGTATAGCATCTAAAAAGCAAAACAAGTGAACAAACAAAAAAAAGCAGGAAAACACCCATAAATATAGAGAATAAACTGGTGGTTTATTCTGGTGGGGGAGAGGGCAAAATAAGTGAAGAGGAGTGGGAGATACAGGCTTCTAGTTATGGAGGGAGTAAGTCACGGGGATAAAAGGTACAACATAGGGAATAGAGTCAACAATACTGTCATAGTGTTCTATGGGGACAGATGGGACTTCTGTTTATGGTGAGCATGGTGTAATGTACATTGAATCACTATGTTGAAAATAACATAACATTCTGTGTCACTATACATCAGTAAAAAAGACAAAGAAGAAATGAAAAGGAGGGAACCTGCACACAGAGGCAGGCACAGAGGGAGGACCAGGGGAAGACACAGAAAGAGCCTCTACAAGCCAGGAACAGCTGAGGCCACTGAAGCCAGGAGAGAAACAAGGAGGAGATTCTCCTCCACAGCCCTCAGAAGGAACCAATCCTGCCATCACCTTGATCACAGACTTACAGCTACCAAAATGGGAAGACAGTACACTTCTGTTGTTTAAGCTGGAAGAAAATAAGGTGGCGGGGAAGTGAGTGAGATTTTACTTTGATTACTGCTATGTCACTGGATCTGTCATAAGAAGAATGCAATACTCATGTAATCTACATGTGTACACATACTGACACACATCGGCAAACACGTATACATATGTGTATAAAAGAGAAGAGTAACTTTAAACTTTATTATACTTCTGCAAAAGTCCTATAGTAGTATAATCACCCCTAGAGGCTGAAAATTCTTATTATGCTTAAGCTTGTGGGCTTCAGAAGGCTTTGTCTTTCCTTATTGCAATGGTTCTCAGCCTTGGAGGCTTGCTAGAATCAATGGGGACATTCAAATCTCAATGCCAACGCCATATCCTAGACTAATGAAGTCAGAATCTCTGCAAGGGCTACTGGCTCCAGCCTTTTTTAAAGCTCCCCAGGTGATTTCAACATGTGACCAAAGTTGAGAACAAGTTTTACTCTGTAACCCCTCAAAGGGAGGGTCTATGTCTGGTTTGTCTATGTCTTCACAGCACCTAAGTTAGTGACTTACATCAATATAATGAGGAGATCCGGAGCCTCCAATATTCTCAGAGGGAGGAAAAAAGTCATAATAACCAGAAGTTAGTAATGTGTTAGGACTAATGCACACAGATTAATAAGTCCTAACACCGTTTCTCCCTCTGTCCCTCCCTCCCCACTTGTCCTCTCTCTTGCTCTTGCCCTCTCTTGCAAAAATAAATAAATAAATAAATAAATAAATGCAATGGAATATTACTCAGCCAACATTTGCATCGGTGTGGATGGAACTGGAGGAAATTATGCTCAGTGAAATAAGTCAAACAGAGAAAGACAATTATATAGTTTCAGTTATTTGTGGAACATAAGGAATAGCATAGAGGACATTAGGAGAAGGAAGGGAAAAATGAAAGGGGGGGAAATCAGAGGGGAAGATGAACCATGAGAGACTATGGGATCCAAGAAACAAGCCAAGGGTTTTAGAGGGGAGAGGGGTGGGGGGATGTGTTGGCCCGGTGATGGGTATTAAGGAGGGCACATATTGCAAGGAGCACTGGGTGTTATACGCAAACAATGAATCACGGAACACTGCATCAGAAACCCATGACGTACTGTATGGTGACTAACATAATATAATATAATTATAACATAACATAATATAATATAATATAATATATAATATATAGTATATATATACATATATATTATATATTATTATATATATACACATATATAATATATATATAATATATAATATATATGTATATATACATAATATAATATAATTATAACATAATATAATATAATATAATTATAACATAATATAATAAAAAAATCATAAAAGCAAACAAACAAATAAGTAAAATCTTAAAATAAAGCAAAAAACCTTAAGTGTCTGCCTTCAGCTCAGGTCATGATCTCAGGGTCCTAGGATTAAGACACATATCAAGCTCCCTGCTGAACGGGGAGTCTGCTTCTCCTTCTGTCCCTCCCCCCAACTTGTGTGCTCTCTCACTCTTGCTCTCTCTTGCAAAAATTAATAAATAAAATTATGAGTTCCAACAGACAGCATCATGCCCTTTTGATGCCTTCAGGATCTGCATCTTTTCACACACACACACACACACACACACACACACATATCTGTACACCCACAGTCCTTTGCTGGGTATCTCCTCAGAGCCTGAGAATTTGGTGGTGGCGGGAGGGGGGGATTCTTTGATCAGGTGATATCCCAATAGAGCAAGGTGAAAGCCGTCAACCAGCTGTGCCTCTCACTGATGTCAAAGAAAAGATTGTAAAATGGATTTCTAAGTCACTGTTGAGCAGAAGGTCTCTTTGGAAGGACTCCTCACCTTCCTCATGACTGCTTCCCAAAACTGATTACATTATTCCTGAGACATTTCCCAATCTTATTTGGGACAGTGAGTTCCTCAGGACTTATCAATAAGTCCTTCTGAAAAGAGAATTTGGAAATTTGAAGTTCTTTAGATATATATATATATATATGTATATATATATATATATATATATATACATATATATATATATATTTTTTTTTTTTTTTTTTCTTGAAAATGGTGCCAAAGGTTTCCTCTACTCCCGGCACAGCTGGTGTTGATGGTTCTGGTGGCTTCATCTAAAATTTTGTGCTTTAAATGTTATTGATCTTTGGGTGTATCAAACCTGTTATAAAGGAGTTCATACCGGGGGCAGAGGGTCCATATTCATTAAGCAGTTGGGATTACCCATGCTTGATATGGCCCTCTGAACAGCTCAGGTGGTTATATTAATTGCTTATCTGTTGATCTCTTGAAGACAAGATTTCAGCGGCAGAATTTCTGGTGTTTGAGTAGATTATAATTCCATTAGAAATACCCCTGTAATAAATTAGTAAGCTACTGTTAAAAGTAATCTACATAGCATTCTACCTTGTGTCTTTCTTTAATTGGTATGAGATCAATGCAGCATTATTTCAGTTCAAATATCTTGGGGTGTTTTTTTTTAATCCCATTAGGCCACAGCTTCACAACAGTTTTTGTGAAATCCTATTACTCACAGAACCTCTAAAATCAATGTTCCTATGTATTTTAAAAATCAAGAAACTCCTAATTATTTGAAAGAGTATCTGCATTTTACATCACTTAGGGGCACGTATATTTTATGAGTTTATAATTCCAAACATAGAATAAATAATTATATTAAATCCCAGTATTTTGGAGGAAAACAACATTAATCAGCTCTATAAATTATGGCATGATGAGTCGGATTGTTCCCTCTGTAACTGTGTAAAAGTTGCAAACTTTTCATCAAGACAGAAACAGAGAGAGAGAGAGAAATTGAGATGGGGGAAATACTATGACCTCTTTAGCATGTCTCTTTTCAGGATGACATTTCAGAGCCCATCTCTGCTGGGCTGGTGTCTGCCCACCTGGCCACACAGTCGGGTTTGTTCTTGTCAACTCTAGCCCAGATCTGCGTCATGCAATGT